TCAGAGTAACACCTGCAAATTTGACAGCAGTAGGGTAGTAAGGATGACAGTACAGGTTCCCACCCAGACACGTTTGAGTGGCTCTTTTTCCAGTCCTTTACCCAGACTCGGTCCCCAGGTTTGTGGAGATGAACTGGGGATCCCAAAGTTACGGGGCCCTCTGGGTGACGGTTTCATTAACCTTGTGTAGGACATTACTAAGGAGCTGCAGCTGCCGATTTAGTCCCAGTTGGCCAGTGTGTCTGAGGTCTCCCCTCCCCATGGACACAACAGGGGAGGCCGGCCAAGCAAAATCTCAAAGGGGGTGTAGCCACTAGCACCAGGAGTGCACCGAATTCTGAGCAGCACTAAGGGGAGAAGGTCCACCCCGGGCTAACCTGTTTCCTTGCAAAATTTTCCCAGAGTCGTTTAATGGTTCGGGAGACATGTTCTACTGTCCCAGAACTCTGTGGCCGATAGGTGGGAAGATTCCATGTAATATGAAGTAAGCGAGTCAGGTGAGTGGTGATTTTAGCAGCAAAATCTAGGCCAGTATCACTGCCAATAGTCACGGGGATCCCATACTAGGAATTATTTCCCTTACAAGACCTTTGGTGACTTCTCGGGCCTTCTCTGTTCTGGAGGGGACGCCTCTACCCTCCCAGAGAAGGTGCAGATGAGAACAAGTAAATATCTGTAGCCTCTGCAAGGCTTGATTTTTTCTGAGGTCCACCTACAGGTCCTTAAAAGGGAGTAGCATATATGCTGTACACAAATCTGGTACCTGAAGAAGCAAACTAAAGGGACGAAAGTTTATCCACCGGTAGAAGCCATAACTTCTGTGGTGTTTTCACCTTTTTTTTTTAATTTGTTATTTTATTTATTTATTTATTTTTAATTATTTTTAAATTATTTATTTTTTACATCATTGTTCATTTTTAAACAATATTTGCTTCCCACCCCCCACCCTCTGCCATGTAGTCCCCATAGAATTTCCTTCCCCAATGCACCTGTGCACCATCACCACAGTCCCCTGTGCTTCTCCCTCCCTCCCTCTGATCCCTCTCCCTCTCTTCCTCTGCAGCATGTCTCTGGTTTATAATTGTCTGTTTTTGTTTTGTTGTGTTTAGTACTGCTATTATTTTTTACACTGATGTCTTATTTTGTTCCCCTATATTCCTGCTATAAGTGAAACCATCCAATATTTTTCATTTTTCCTTCTGACTTATTTCACTGAGCATAATTCCTTCTAGCTCCATCCATGTTGCTGCAAATGGCATGAGTTTATCTTTTTGATGGCTGAGTAACATTGAGAATGGCACATATAAAAAAAATAGCAACGACAAATGTTGGCAAGGATGTGGTGAAAAAGGAACTCTCCTATATTGCTGGTGGGAGTGCAAACTGGTCCAACCACTATGGAAAGCTGTCTGGAGATTCCTCAGTCTACTAATAATGGAGCTACCACGTGACCCAGCCATTCCACTCCTAGAGATCTACCCAAAGGACACAGAAACATTGATTCAAAAGAACACCTGTACCCTTATGTTTATTGCAGCACTATTTATAATAGGTAAAACCTGGAAACAACCAAATGCCCAAAAATAGATGACTGGGTCAAGAAGATGTGGTACATATACACAATGGAATATTCTTCTTTATTTTTGATGCAAGCTCTCTTTCATCTCAACTCGGGTGTAGTTGCTGGCACAGGCCCTGAGCCTGAGCACTGTGGGCTCCAGACAACAGTGGCAGGAGGTGATGTCTCAGCTGAGCCACCAGGCGTGCCCGAGGCAGGCATTGTGGAGGAGCTGACAGACGAGGGGATGGCGGTACTGGGCAAGGAGGAGCTGGTGTAGCGCCTGCAGTAGGAGGCAGTGGCGAGCCGGGCCACTCTGGAGCAGCGAGGCCACCTCATCTAGGTGAGTCGGCAGTTGCAGAGCCACTGAGGCCAGATCTGCGACTCACGCAATTTAACTGGCATCCGCAGGCTGAGAACCCCGGGCTGCGTGACCTCTGCTGCCTTTTTGCGTAGGCATCATACTGTGTGCTGGGGGCTGCTCTCAGGGACTCCAGCATCCCAGGCGGTGAGGACCTGGGTAGTTGCTGGCAGAAGTTGGCTGAGCAGGAGGGCTACCAGGAGGGGGCGCTCTGCCTGGCATTGGGTGAAGGAGGACTGTGGAGTGGGGGGCGGCCTCTGGCACCAGGCTAGCATCTGAGTTTGTCTTGCCCCTGTGTGGGCTCCACGACCTGGACTAAGGACCCAGTTTTCTTTGTACTAACACCCGCCTGAATTGCTCCCCAAAAGCCAGGATTGTGCTAGGCCTGTAGATGTGGATGCCGCCCAGTCCAGGGGCCGCTGGATTTGGAGGGTCCTGATCAGGGAACAAAAACCTCACACAGAGAAATCAGAGGGCACTCAGAGAAGTAGAAAGTGAGAGATTTAATTGCCACACTGGCAGGCTCAGTGGGATCATTCTGCATTGTTCGGGAATTGGTTCAAAGGAATCATGGCTCCACCTCAGACAAGCAATGCAGTACACCCAGCACTTCTCCGCTCCAGCAAGCAGCAGAATCAAAGCAGTACACTCCCCCAAGCAGCAGGCTTGGGAACGTTTGCTTCAGGTTATCATTGTGTTTTAAATCAGGGGGTTGTGAATAGATCAAGAAGGTGTGGTCCATATATACAGTGGAATACTACTCAGTGATCAAAAACATAAACTCATGCCATTTGGGAAATATGGATGGGGCAGGAAAAAATACTAAGCTTGATAAGTCAGAAGGAAAAAATAAATATCAGATGGTTTCCCTTATATGTGGGATATACAGAAATCAAACAAAGGGTCAGAGTAAAGACAAAACTTCAGCCTGATCCTAGATCTGAGGCACACAGCAGAGGAAAGGGAGAGAGATGGTTCCAAACAGGGGAGGGAAGAGCACAAGGGACTGTAGTGATGGATCATGGGTGCTATGGTGATGAGAGAACTATAAGGACTACACCTGAGAGAGAAATCAAATATTATACAAAAATTAACAATGATGTAAGAGAATAAATAAATAGATTTAATAAAAAATTTTCTATCACTCACTGACAGCTAGAAAACAAATAAAATTAAATAAAGCAGAGGATCCTGAAGTTACAAAATGGGGGTGAGAGAAATCCTGTAACATCCAGTCTCACACAAGGCAGAGCGCTCATTCCACGATGGAAAATAATACTGAAGAAATTCTGGTGAGTTACATTAAGTGATAACATTCTCAATAGTCCACTGCATCCTAAGACTGTCCCACTCACAGCTCCCCACAACCTGGCCCCATCCTCTGGGGTGTCCCAGGGGGTGAGAGACATCCCAGAGTCCTGGGGACTGTTGTTGCCTGAGGAAGCACAGAAGAGACGTGGTCAGCGCCCAGAGATGAGACCCACAGAGGAACTGATGAAGGTGACTCTCGCTAGAGTTCCCTCTACACTGTCCTCAGGGGCTCAGACCCAACCCCTGATCCATACTTACCTGCTGCCTGACTGTAGCTGACTGCGTGTCCCCCTGTGGGAAGAAACATCATGTGAGACAAAGGAGGAGTCAGGTGACAAGTCCTAAAGGAATTCCCAAGTCTAGGTGAGAGGGAAGTTTCTAGAACTGTGACTGAAGACCCAGGTCAGGACTGGGATATATGAAGAATGGATATGAAATGGACCTGGAGTCTTTCCTCAGCAGGGTCCTTCCCCTGTGACATTTCCTGGGAAACAGATCCCCATCACCACAGTTATAAGGTGAACAATTGGTGATTCATTTTCATAAGTGCTTTACAAAGAGTGAGTGTTCACAATCAGCTCCAGACTGGGCAACACGTGTGTGGATCAGACTCCCTAGTAACCAGGAAGGGCAAGTTCTCTCTGGGACATGAAAGTCCCCAGTGGACAAGATCCCCCACTCCCTTCCCTACCTGAGCGCATATTCCTCCACCTCACAGCTGCAGCCACCGCAGCTCCAGTGAGCACAGCTCCAAAGAGAACCAGGCCAGCAATGATGCCCGCAGTGGGGATGGAGGACTGAGAAGGGGGCACTGGAAGGGAAGGGAAGGTAGACCTTGAGCTTCAGGCCTCATCCTGACCCTCTGAAGGTCTCCCAAAGGGCTCATGATTCCTCTGAGCAGAAGCTCAGTGCCCACGTCCCCCTCCTTACCCCAAGTCAGGACTGTAGGCACCAATAGCCCCTCATGCTTCACATGGCATGTGTATCTCTGTTCCTCTCCAGAAGGCACCACCATAGCCGCCCACTTCTGGAAGGTTCCATTCCCCCCAGGCCTGGTCTCCACCAGCTCTGTGTCCTGGGTCAGGTCCTCCCCATCTCGCTGCCAGGTCAGGGTGATGTCCGCAGGGTAGAAGCCCAGGGCCCAGCACTTCAGGGTGACCTTATGCTCAGAGGTGGGGTGGTGGGTCACTTGTGTTTTGGGGGGATCTGAAGAGAATGGTCAAAAATTCACACTTTGGGTTTCCTCTATGGATACTAAAGCAGCCTCACTGACCATCCTCAGAGTGGACATGACAATTGGTTTGGAGGGAGGAAGCACAAAACCTAGAAACCAGCCTAGTCTGGAGAATCTGGGATAATCAGGTGAGAGCCCAGGGCAGGAGGACGCAGGTCTCTAAGGAGAACACAGACTTTTGCTCCTGACCTGGGTGGAGGGTGAATGACACAGAAAGGCAGGAGTCAGATCCAGAAATGTTCTCAGACCAAAAACAAGACCTTGAAAGAGAAACTCATGGTTCCCAGGATGGCTGCCGGGTCACAAGGATCCAGGGAGAGTTATTTCAGGATGGCCTCCCTCCCTCAGGAGAGACTGGATTCCTTAACCGTCCAGAAAAGTGGTGTCTTCTGGGCGAGTCTCTCTCTAGCACAGAACATGAAACCCAGGGGACTCTCCCTCTCTGCCCAGAAAGCAGCTGCTGTTCTGCCCATTATTCCCTTTTCCCTGTGGGGCGCCAGGAGAGGGGAGGTCCGAGGCCTTGTGGCCCCTCTTACCTGTGCGCTGCAGCACCTCCTTCCCCAAATTCAGGAATCTGAGGAGCCACGGGAAGCACCTGCCCTGTATACTGTTCCTGACGCGCCTGGCCCTCCCCTGCGCCTCCCACTCGCGCTGGGTGATCTGAGCCACCGAGTCCGCGGGGGTCCAGGAGCGCAGGTCCTCGCTCAGGGAGATGAAATCCGCGCCGTCGTAGGCGAACTTTTCATACCCGCCGCGGAGACGCAGGTCTGGCCCCACTTCACAGCCACACATCCTCTGGAGCGTGTGAGACCCTGAAATCCAACCCACCCCTGTGGTCAGTCCCGAGGTCACCCATGGTCACCCCGCCCTCTCACCCTGAATAAACCTAAACTGAAATGAAAGGGCGGGCAGGACAGTTCCTTCCCCAGGGAGGGGCCTGGCAGATTCACCAGCCTCGAGGGGTCAGTGGTCCCTGAGACTCGGGACACCCCGGCTTAGGGTGGGAATGGGGGGTGACCTGACCCCGGCCCCGCTCCGCGAAGCTCACCGTCCTCGCTCTGGTTGTAGCGGCCGCGCAGGTCCCTCAGGAGCACTTGGAACCACTGTGCGTTGTTCCTTTGGTTCTGAGTCTCCTCGTCCAGGTCCTCCTGCCCCACCTGCCCCGCCCAGGGCGCCCGCGGCTCCACACTCTGGCCTGGAGAGTCGCTGTCGAACCGCCCGAACTGCGTGTCGTCCACGTACCCCACGGCGATGACACGGGGCTCCCCATTGTGGTTGTGGTTGCCATTGCCGTTGCTGTTGCCGTTGCCATTGCGGGACATGGTGGTGGAGAAACACCTCAGGGAGTGGGAGTCTGGGGGCGGGAGGGAGACCCGGGCTGACCCTCCTCTCAGCATTGGACCCAGGGCCCAGGGAGATGGGCCTGGAGGGGAGAAAGGGGCGGGGCCGTGAGAGTGCAAAGCGGGGTGGGCCAAGAAGGACCCAGACTCAGGGGACCAGAGCACTCAGGGGAGGCGGGAGGGACACAAGGGGCCAGAACACAACGGGACTGAAGGGGAATAAGAGGTTGGGGGGAGATGAACCTTTCCTGGGGTCCTGCACACTCAGGGGGCTCCTTGCTCCTCCCTCCTGGAGCAACAGTGTCCAGCTGGACACGCACTCACCCGCCCGGGTCTCCATCAGGGCCAGGGGCCCCAGAGCAGCAGCAGGAGGGGGAGGGGCATCACACTCCATCCAGGGTCTGGGGAGAAGGAGTCCAGGAGGGTCCTTGGAGACTTTGTAACTGGAGCAGGATGATGCTGATTGTCTTCCCTGGACACCCCTAGGAAATGGGGAGAGAGAATGGGGGTGAGTGTGGGGTCATCATGGCTGCACCACCCCACGGAGCCTGTGAGAGGGAGACATGATGCTGTACAGGGTGACAGGGGAGGCTCCAAATTCCCTTCCCCACCTTAGGGAGGAGTGGATTTGGGCTGGGAGAAGCAGCAGCCTGGAGGAATGAAGAAACTAGTAGCGTTTTCAGGTAATTGTGAATATTCCAGCGTGAATTAAAACTGTACAGGTGGTGGTTTCTCGAAGGTTATTTGCAAAGTGAAACCTGAAATAATATCAGGGAATATTTCCTATTCTGTTACATTTCCATAGGCCTTTCTTGCATATTGGTTTGGACTTGTGCTAATGTATGATTTTTTAAGGTGATACATTGTTTCACTAAGTTACATAGATCTTTAGTGTTAATTACACTGGAATCAAATGATCAAAAAATGTTTTATTTTATAATCAGAAATCCCAAAAGAAAAATTCATACTATAAATTGTCAAGTAGTGAGGCACTCAATTTTTCATAATTCTGGTTTTCTCTGAGAGCTTATATTTTATCAAAGTTACTGTCATTTGCCATTGTTGATTTTCTTCAAGAAACAGACACTCATTTTGAGGAAAGTGTCTGCTAATTACCCAAATTTAAATAACCTTAGTTTGTGTCATTCATCCTTTCAGGTAAGATTCGTGTTGCCCACAAATAAAAAGAGTCTAATTCATCTCATACAAATATTTTCCTCAGGACACAGGGCTTGGGATGCCTCAGAGTGCTCTGTGTGTCCTTCCAGGTCAGCACACCAGATATTTTAAAATGTGGAGTTGAGGATGATGCAATAATGAAGATAACTTTTAATGTTTTTCCCAGGACATTTTCAAGTGAAACTGGCTTTGATTTTTGTTCCTGCAGGTAAGTGCTGGTGAAGAATTACTACTTCTGCAGTGGTGCTATAAGCTCCACTCTTATGAATTTTTACCTCAGCAAATGCCAAATAGTGAAAAGACAAATGGTGTCTAGGTGATGTTTTGAAACTAGTTTTACCTCATGGACCCCATGAAAGGTTCTGGGTGACTTCAAGGGCTCCACAGACCACACTTTGAGAAATGCTTTTCTCAGTGAACCAGGGAGCATCTCCCAAGTGTTCTTGGCCTTTGCTTCCTCTTCACTTCCCAACATCCCTCTCCCTGGCTGGCTCCTGCCTCCCTAAGCTGCCTCCCCTGCAGATACAATGGGGAGCAGAGAGAAGCCCCTGGAAACGTGGAGCTTGTGCTGTCAGGAGAGATGGACACTAAGTAAAGGTGACAAAGACACTTGTAAACCCGACCTGAGCCCCGTGCTGGGAGGAAGGAGTGTGTTTATTGTGAACGCAGAGAAGCAGGAGCCCTAATAGGACCTGACCACTACTATCAATAGTATCAAAAGTATCAAAGTATCAGATAGTATCAATAGTATCAAAAAATATATATATAAAAAAAATTAAGCATAAGGAAAAGATTTTATCTCTTCCCATAACTGTCACTTCTATCCCTGACACACGTGCTCTGGCCCCATAGACCAGCCTGTCCCCTCTGCCCTCAGCCCCCTCCACGTCCTGCCCCACCACAAAACCATACTGAAGAGGCCTATAGCCTAATCTACAGCCTGGTCCTGGCTCCGTCCTCCCCCTCATCTGCTCTTCCCTCATTTATTATGCGCTGAAGGACAGGCCTCCCCAAGATGTTCAGAAAGGCGTCCCCCAGACAGGCCAATTGGCACGTGAATTATTTTCATCTGAGGATCATCAGAGGTTCATCTTAAGAAACGGTTACCACATCTGTAACTACCTAGTATGAAAATGGGGGCCTTACCCCAAATTAGGCTTATTACCAGAAACAAGCTTTGTATCTGAGAAACCTACTATGTCAGGGCAAACATAGAATATCAAACCTTTTTTTTTTTTTTTAATATACATATCCTTTTTTTTTTTTTAAAGATTTATTTTATTTATTTATATAAGCACTGGGAAGGTGAGAGAATTCACCAGAGCCAGAGCGGGAGCAGAGCAGGCAGAAGGACCGAAGTACACTGCTGAGGGGAGCAGCGGGCGGCAGGAGAGGTCTGCGCGCCATGTGGGACCCTCCTCTGGTGGCCGGGGAGCAGCCGGGGATCCATCAGGTGCTACAGAGGCTGCAGGCAGCTTTGCAACTCAGCACTCAACCACTGCACCACTGGGGAGGCCAGAATATCAGACCTTTGTCATGAGTCACCCTGTCCTTGCCATGTGATCCCCTCCTCTCTCCAGGAGTGCCAGGCCCCCATCTCACTCCTTAGCTCACCCTGGGTTCCTGCACAGATTCACACACTCATTTAGATGTAGATTCCCTATGCATATTTAGGGAAATTTTGTTACTTTCTAATACCAAAAAACAAAAAGGAAAAAGAAAAAAGATGTTATAAAATTTCAGGTGCTCAGAATAAGAGTTCTTGAAAATTAGAGATTTTAATCATAGAAATGAATAAATGAGTAGATGAACTGGAATATCAAAGTCTCACTCCTACTAAATAATGTGAATGGAAAAGAAATGACAGCAGAGAAAAGACCTACAAGAAACTGAGTCTATCAACCAGGAGATTCCAACTAGTTAATAATACAAGTGTCGAAAAGAATGGAGAGTGGAAATGATGAAAAAAATTCAGGAAAATCCCTGAGCACTCACAGATAAAATGTGCACGCTGAGTGTCCTCCCCGGTTCCTCCTACAGGGGATGAGCAGCCCCACACCATGACCCGCCCCAGGGACTTTCAGAAAGAGGCTGGAGAAGGACAGACCTTGGGGCCCTCAAGAGACAACTCAGGCCTGGAGGCCAGAAGGCCCCAGAGTCAGGCCTGCCCAGTCCTCAGGGGAATCCAGCCCAGAACCATGCCAGGCCCAGGTGAGGGAGGCGCTGGGGGCACAGACATTCACTTCAGCTGTTTGTGGTCTCAGGGGTGACATTCCACATCCCTCCTCTAGTAGGCAAAGGGCACTAGTGGGCAAAAAGGGAAACAAAGATGTTGGACACAGAGAACAGGACACAGGAAAATCAACCACAGGGGAGCAGGGACAGGAGACAGGCCAAGTGTGAGGTGAGGGATCCGGGCCCTCAGCCCTGCCCAGGTGAACAGGCCCCAGTCCCCGGGAGGCAGGACTGAGGCTGTGGGACAGGGGTCTGCCCAGGATGAAGCGGGCAGAATAGCTGGTGTGTGTGATATGTCCATGCAGATTCTGACCCTGAGGTTGTCTTGGGGGTGATTAAGAATGAGCACAACAGGAAATAGGCTATGAGGGAACAGGATAATTACAATATCAGGGGCAATAAAAAACCAATCCAAGAAAGAAAAGCATCCTGGTCTACTCACTACTCAGCTGTGACTGGCTCTCACAAGGTCATGATGCAAACCCTGGATCCTGGGGTGTATCTCAACAACCTGCCAGAGAGCCCTGGGGGGGGGGGGGGGGTCGGGGGGGGCGGTAAATGCCTGTGCTGTGGATTCCAAAGGGGCCACCTTCCAGGCCTCCTTGCCACTCAGAGCCAGCTCTCGTGGCCTGGGCAAGAGGCCTGGGTGGTGTGGGCAGGGACTTCTCCAGGATGCTTGCTGAAAACCTCAATGAGAAGGAGCAGAGAGCAGGGCAACATCAGGGGCCCTAGAAAGGCTGCCGGGAAGGCAGTGACAAGCCTCCCTGGGGAGGAGACTGCAGCTATTCACCCAAGAGCTAAAGCACAAAGGAGGAATCAAGTCACCAGGCCCTTCAGAACATGCCCCACATGCTCTGTGGTGCCCAAGCCCTGACACAGGAGACAGCTTTTCTAAAAGAACACATGATTCTGGTCAAGGAACACATTAAAAAATTCTAGTATCGATGCAGATATCGATAGAGAGGAACCAGGCCAAATCCAGAGAGCAGCTGCTGCAGAACCTCCTAGAAGCAGATGCATGAGCATGTTGGGAGCTGACACAGAGGAGACACTGAAAACTCAGAGCCGTGATTTCTGACAGGCTGAAGCCTCGTGGAGGAGCTTTGTGGTGGGCTCCACCCCCAGACAACTCAGAAAAATGGGTGCATTCAAAGGCTTTTAAGGACAGGCTGGAGGCCTTGACCTACCCACAGAGTGTGGCCACATTCACCCCTCAGTCTGTGGTATTTTATGAGCATTTTCAAGCACACAGAGAAATTGAACTAACAGTGCAGAGCACACCCTAGATTCAGCATTAGCATTCGCCACATTAGCTTTATCACTCATCTTTATCCACAGCTCCATGTCTATTCATCCATCTTATTTTTCTGGTGCATTTCAAAGTTAGTTGCAGATGTCAGTACCCATCTTTCTTTGATTTTTTAAAAACATTTGTTTTATTTATGCATACAAGAGCTGGGGTGCAGGCCAGAGGTGTGTGGGTGAGAGCATTCACCAGAGATAGAGTAGGGAACAGAGCAAGTGGATCTACCAAAATACACTGCTGAGGGGAGCAGCGGGCGAAACAGGAGAGGTCTGCTGTGCCATGTGGGTCAGCTCCCTGGCCGGGGTTAGAACTCTAACTGCAATGGCTGCCAATAGCTTCGCAGTGCTGAGACTTAACCCCTTATGTCACTAGGGACTCCCCACTTTTCATTTCTCAACACTTGAGCTAAGAATCTTTTTATGAGATAAAACTCTATCTGGAGAAATGCACAAATCTTGAGTACACTACTGGAGGAGCTGTGACCCTTGTCAAGAACATTATGTATATTTTTCTTTTCTTCTCTTGGAAACAATGAACATTTAAATAATTTAATGATGTGTCTCACTTAACAATACAGTTTATCCACCCTCCCTCCTTTGGAGTAACTACCACAGTCCAATCTGAAGCCTCCCTGGTCTCTCCATTCTCAGCGCATTCTTGTGACCACACTCTCCTT